CTGTCACCTCCCCAGGCTTCTGCACAGCCTCTGTTTTTTGTTCTGTGTCTTCCCTCTCGTATCCTCTTCCTTGGTTGCTTCTGCATATCCATGCATCCAAACAGAATGCTCTTAGACATTTCTTCTTTCCTCTAATCCTTTAAGACTCACCTCAAATATGTAACCTCTTCCAAAGTGTTTTTTTTTTAAATCTTCTTCAGCCGACCTTTTGCCTCACAGATCCTCAGTTTTCTCATCTGAAAACAGAGATGATGGCATCTCTCAAATGTAATTCACAATACTGTGGAGTCTCACTTGAGATAATAGATGTGAAAAGGCTTTGGAAAATGTAAAACACTTTGTAAATCTTGTATTACTATCACTTCCTGATGACACGAGCATTTATTATCTCCATCACATACTTGTGGGGACAAATTGTACATATACACGAAGTGTCATTAATACCAGATTGAATTCTTTCATATGTGAATATTTGGTTTTCTCCAGGAGAAGTCAAAGTTCTTGGAGAGTAAGGGCCATGTTTACATGCCTTAGGGAAAGGAAAGAAACAATTTGGAAGAAAGCTTCACTCTTTACTGTTTAGTATACTTTGTAGCTTTATGCCAGGCAGGTACTAATAGACGCTTCAGGCTTTTTTTTTTTTTTGCAGGTTCAATTAAACTAGCAGATTCACATATTTCTAGCTAATTTTTTTCTTTTTCACTAAAGATAAATATATTAGGTATTCATTTTTTGACCTTTCTATTGCATGTCTCTTCTTGTAAAAATGAAGGCTTCAGGGGGTAGGGATTTGATCTTTTGCTCTGTTGCATTATTAGCACCTTTCACATGGGAGGTGCTTAATAAGCATTTGTTGAATGCATGAATGAATGAACCCCAATCATGATGAGAAAGTTTAATTCTAGCCTTTATCTCTGCCTTGAGGACTAGAGAATGGCCTTGTCTCACCATTACTATGGAATTAGGGCTCGGGCTGCAGGATGGCTGTCCCTCAGTGCCCTCAAGGCTCTTTTTTTTTTCTTTCTGCTTTTGGGACTGTGCTTTGAATAACGGAGGATGCTGACAGCCTGCTCTCTCAGTAAGTGGGGGGAATCAAGGGAGTATTAAAACCAGCTCTACTTGGTATAATTCAAGTAGAAGTAGTCACATAGTAATATTAATACCTAAACAAGATTGAACACTTATCTAAATGCTTTGCTGGACTAATTCTTTTAGGTCTCTCTAAAACCTTATAAGCCAGATGTTATTATGTCCCTACTTTACAGATAGAAAAATGGAGGCACAGAGAATTAAAATAAATGATCCAAGATCACAGAGCAACTTAATAGTAGAGATATGATTGAAACCCAGAAGTCAGGTTTTGGAGATTATTCCCTTATCCACTGTGTTGATCTGGCTCTCTGATTAAATAGAGATCATTAAAAAAAAAAAAACCAGTTTTGGTGTACATCTGTGTTTTTCCCCTTTTTTCTAGAGCAGAGTAGTTTTCAGTAGCTCTTGTTGTGGCTGAAAGCTGTAAAGGTTCTGGCCTGTTTCTTCCCTTCAGGGAAGTCACTTAGTTATGCACAGCCTGCATTTTCTATTTGACTACAACGTGTTAGGAGTTCATTATTTGCAGTGCTTGCCAAAGCTGATGAGGTGGTCGACTCACTCTGGTTTTGTAGACAAAGAATGACCTGTCGAAATCCACTAAAATGAAAATTTTATGAGACTCTCAGATTCAAGGCTGACCTGAATTTTAGGCTTCATGGATTTGATGTTGTCTAACAGTTACGAGTTACATTTTGATGTCCAAGTTACCATACACCACACAAGGAAAACAAGTGCTCAATTTATGAGGAGGAATATTAATTTTTTCTGTTCATTTTATTTCTGTCCTTTTTACACAGGACAGCTTGTCTATCAAACCAAGTTATTTGCATTCAAGGGATGGTGCTAAAAATATGAGATCAACTTTATGGCAGAAATTAATTGAATAAATACATTTGCAAGTCTTACGGCCTTAGTCCCCTTCACCTAAGTGTATGTGAAAAGCATGAGGGGATGGGAGATATTAGGGACCCCTCCTCTTTTCTTCCCTCAGACCTGGTATCCAAGATTATTTGTTATAATGAAAACATTGAATCCCAGATTAGTTTTTTTTTTTTTTATGAAAGCTCATTTGGACATTCCAGGATACCTCGTGGGGGTGGCCTTTTGAAAAATTGTAGTATATTGAAGAGGCTGGCAAATACTAGGCATGTAGATTAAATGTTAAATCCATAAACCTGTGAGTGCACGATGTGGTCCTGAAAGGGGTGGTGCTGAGGAGAGCCCGATGCATTCTGTGTACAGCTGGGTGAGGGAGTGTGGCCCCGTGGGCAGGAAGGAAAGGCATTGGCAGATCAAACCTCAGATGCGCTAGAGCAAACCAGAGAGGTTTTGGAAAGAATCCCTGTCAGAATCTGGCATTGGGAAAGAAAATGGATATTTTTGGACTAGGCTCAAAGTGAGCCAACAGGCGCTGGCTCTAAGCTCAACCAGGAGAGGCTCTGTTCCTTTAGAGGGAGACCAGGTGGGAGCCAAAAAGAAATAGCTTATCATGAATCCAGGTGGTAGCAATAGTGTGGACCAGCCAGAAGGTCAGGGATGGCCAAAGAAAAGGACTCGATGATGGAAGTCATGAGTATCTAGGAGATAATAAGGAGTAGCTCCTATGGGCTGAAGGAGTATCTGGGAGAAAGATGCTCATCATTCAACGTTTATCCATACCTACTGCGTACCAGGCACCACTGTAGACACTGGAGATAAAGTAGGGAACAAAACACAAGAAAATCCCTACATTTGTGAAGCTTACATTCTCTTCTTTCAGCTTTATGGAGGTATAGTTGGTAATAATAGTGTCGGTATTTAAACTGTACAGAGTGGTGACTTGACATATGTATACATTGTGAAAGGATTTCTACCATCTAGTTAATGAATGCATCCATCACATTACATTTTTTTTGTGAGAACATTGAAATTCTACTCTCTTAGCGAATTTCAGTTATATAACATAGTGTTATCACCTGTAGTCACCATGCTTTACATTAGCTTCTCAGACCTTATTCATCTTAAAACTGAGAGTTTGTAGCCTTTCACTGACCACTCCCCATTACCTTTACCCCTCAACCCCTGGGAACCTCACTTCCACCTCTGTTTCTGAGAGTTTGATTTTTTTTCTTAGATTCCACATACAAGTGAAATAATATGGTACATGTCTTTCTCTGGCTTCTTTCATTTGGCATGATGTCCTCAGTGTTCCTATCCATGTTGTTGCAAACAGCAGAATTTCCTTCTTTCTCATGGCTAAATAATATTCCATTGTGTATATGTATGTATGTATGAGTGTGTGTGTGTATATGTCTCTCTCTTTCTCTCTCTCTATATATATATATGTTACATCTTCTTTATCCATTATCCATTTATCTGTTGATGGGCACTTAGGTTGTTTGCATATTTTGGCTATTGTTAATAATCCTACAATAAACATGGGAATGCAGATATCTCTTTGATATCCTGTTTTCATTTCCTTTGGATATGTACCCAGAAGTGGAATTGCAGGATCATATGGTAGTTCTATTTTTAATTTTTTGAAGAACCTCTATACGGTTTTCCACAGTGGCTGCACCATTTTACATTCCCACCAACAGTGAACAAGGGTTTTCTTTTCTCCACATCCTTGTCAACATTTGTTATTTGTTTTCTCTTTGATAGTAGCCATTTTGACAGGTGTAAGGTGATATCTCATTGTGGTTTTGATTTGCATTTCTGTGATGATTAGTGATATTGAGCATCTTTTCATGTGTTTGTTAGAAAAATGTCTTCTTTGGGAAAATGTCTATTAAGGTCTTCTGCCCATTTTTTAATCAGGTTGTTTGTTTTTTTGATATTGAGTTGTATGAGCTATTTATATATTTTGGATATTAATCCTTTATCGGTCATATCATTTACAAACATTTTCTCTTATTCAGTGAGTTGTCTTTTCATTTTGTTGATGGTGTGCTGTGCAAAAGCTTTTTAAGTTTAATTAGGTCTCATTTGTTAATTTTAATTTTTGCTTTCTTTGCCTTAGGAGATAGAATCAAAGAAAATATTGCTACGATTTATGTCAAAGAGTGTTTGGTCTGTATTTTGTTCAAGGAATTTTGTGGTTTCAGGCCTTATGTTCAAGTTTTTAATCCATTTTGAGTTGATTTTTGTGTTCAGACGGTGGTCCATTTTCATTCTTTTGCATGTGAATGTCTAATTTTCCCATTACCATTTATTGAAGAGATTATCCTTTCCCTAAGCTTACTTTCTTGTTGGGGAAAGTACACAGTAACCGAATAAATAAGTACATGGTACTGTGCGGTCCATCAGATAATAGTAATTGCTATTGAGAAAAACAAAGCAAGAAACAAGGGATGGGAAATGGTTGGGTGTTGTAGTTTTAAATACAACGGCCAACTGTATTTAAGAGAGGAGATAACATTTGTGAAGTTTCCTGACAAAGGCTTTGGTGAGTTTCTTTCCTTTGTGAAGGAAATTGAGTTAGTGAACTTGTCCTCAGTGGTATATTTTAACTGTGTTTAACGTGTCAAAATTTTCTGTCTTGTCACCTTGTTATTTTAAAATTTAATTACAGTAGGAAATAAATATGTGAGTGAAGTGAAGGAAAAGATGCCTTTTCTGAAGGAGAAAGGATAGATGTAAAAGCGATGTTAGTGAATTCCCTTCTTAATTGCTAGGAGGACGCTGGGCCCATTGAAATCAAGGGCCACAGGTGCGTGACAGCCTTTGTCATCATATGACCTCAAGTCTGTAGCAGTTGTTTCTGGCATCATCAGTTGACAGTAGAATAACAGGTTTTATCTTGACAGCAGAAGATTATTGCATGGTTAGGCTTTAACCAACACTCAGAAAGTCTTTATGTCTTGGAAGTTTAAACTTAATTCCTCTCACTGTAATACTAAGGCTTCGTGCTTGTTTGTCTCCCCCAGCTTTGTAGGAAGCCAACCTCAGAGAGGCAGACGGGATGGCTAGCTCAGCCCGGGAGCACCTGCTTTTTGTGCGGCGTCGAAATCCCCAGATGCGGTACACACTGAGTCCAGAGAACCTCCAGAGCCTTGCCGCCCAGAGCTCCATGTCCGAGAACATGACCCTGCAGCGGGCCAACAGCGACACGGACCTGGTGACTTCTGAGAGCCGCTCCAGCCTGACGGCCAGCATGTACGAGTACACGCTGGGGCAGGCCCAGAACCTCATTATCTTCTGGGACATTAAAGAGGAGGTGGACCCCAGTGACTGGATTGGACTTTATCACATAGGTGAGTCAAGTGAAATGGATTTGCTTGTGACTTAAGTCATGCATTTTACTCTGACATTGCACTATTATGTGTTTTCTCCTGGGAAGAAATTCACACATATAAATTAAAACAGCCAGATCCTGGGAATTTGTGCTTCTGTTTTGGGAAAGGGGGAGTCAACAATTATAAACACCTTTGCTGATATGAATTCTGTGGTTACATCTCTACCTTAATTAAAGGCCAGAACCTGCAGTATTTTCTTTTTAAAACTTCTCCTTGCCCTGATCAATAGCCCCATTTTGGAAAGAGGTGGTTATTAACATTTACTTGTGTTTTTAAACCAATGAAACTGATGTCTAGATTTAGATAACTGATATGAAAAAAACATTCTATATTTTCTGAAGGTTGAATTTCATTAAAAACAACTTGCAGTTGGGGAGGAGGAAGGCATAGCTCAGTGGTAGTGTGTGCTTAGCACGCATGAGGTCCTGGGTTCAATCCCCAGAACCTCCATTAAAAAATAAATAAAACTAATTACCTCCCCTCACACAAAAAATAAAAATAAATATAAAATAGTTGGACAAAAATTTTTTTAAAAAAGAACAACTTGCAGTCTAAAATGTCTTTTTATTTCAAAATTTCACCTTGTTATTTTAAAATTTAATTACAGCAGGTGTAATTAATTACAGTGATGTGTCCTAGATCAATTAGGTGAAGAAAATGTCATGTTCTCTAACAAATGACTTAGACATAGGTTGCTATTGTTTTAATAAAAGTGTCCCAGCTCTGTTTAGCTAATTTGCATCTGTTATTCATTGGTGAGTTCATGATGAATAGCATATCCCAGAAAATAAAATATCTGTTTTAGTTGAGAGCAAAAATCAAAACTTACTAACCAATCATAAAGAAAATCGAAATCAAACCTGATAATAAAATCTAACATTCCCCAAAGTTGGAGAACTTTTACACTGAATGAAGAGAATTCTTTTAAAAATTTGACATCAGATATTTAATCAGAAAGACATTGTTGCTTTCAATGTAGATTATAAACCTTTAAAAATTAAAAAAAAATTTTTTTTAGTGAATAGAATAGGGGAGAAAAAAACACCTGTTTATGGCGATGCTTCTCCACCATGGCGATTTTGCCCCCTCTGCAGGACACTTGGCAGTGTCTAGAGACATTTTTTGTTGGCACAACTGGGTAGGAGGAATGGGAGACCAGGAATATCCTGGTGAACATCCTGCAATGCACTGGGCAACCTTCACAACAAAGAATTACCTCTCCCATGTGCCAGCAGTGCCACTCTTGAGAAACCCTGGTGGAGGCAAAGTAATATCCTTGCTGAAATTTTATTAAAATGTTTAGCCCACTGCACTTGATGTTTCTCTGGATGGAGAGTTTTATGTTGACTGAAATAAAATTGATTCATATTTACTTATGTAACTTTTAATACTTAATCACACTATATAGCAGAAAGTGGCAGCAAAAAATTTCAGTACATTTTTATCTTTCTATTTCCTCATGACAAAAAGTGGAGGAAAAGTCTTTGGAATTCAGTATTTTCCCCTGGTGTGTTTAAATATATATTCAAAGTGAGGAAGATCCATAATTTTAAAATTATATTTTTATATCTGATATCTATTATGTTCACAAAGGAATCTTACAATTTTGATATGACTTTAGAGGTAACTTTGGGTTTTGATGTAATTTCACCCTTTTGGGTTTTGTAAAACAGTTTTCTTTTTGCTTTTCTCATATTTTTTTTTCCTTTTTTCTTATTTTAGACTTTGCAGTGTTTAGTATGAGACTACAAATAGATTGTGTTTTCTTAAATGATTTTTATGTGATATTTGGACGATCAGTTTTACTTTCTTACATAGGAGGATTTTTGTCTGTAAGATGATAGAATCGCTTAAGACGGTGACTCCTATAACCTCACACTTTTTTCCCTACTTTTCTTTCTGTTCCCCCACCCTACTTGTTATATTTCCGTGTCTATATTTAATTGAAAAAGAACTCAGGAATCCAAAGCCAAGTTTATCTTATTCCCAAATGACCAAAGTCACAAAACCTTGGTATTTTTCTATTTCACTTTCTAGAGTATGTCAGAGTTCTGAATCGAGAATTAACCCCAGGATATAAGTAGGGAAATAAAATTAGAAAATAAATCTTTTGAAAAGTGCTGTTCTTTAGTTTTCATTTCAAGATGTTTCTGTATCTTTCTCATGTATCATCATCGTATTTTTGTTTCCCTGTATGTAATGTGTCTTCTTTTTTCTTTTTGGCTGCTTTCAACATTTTTTCTTTATCTTGGTTTTCAGCAGTTTGCCTGTGATTTACTAGGTGTGACTTTATTTATTCTGGTTGGGATTCTTGGAGCTTTATAACTAAATGTTTTTAATGCAAATTGGAAAATTTTGGTCATTATTTTTTCAGATATTTTTTCTGTCTATTTTCACTTTCTTCTTCTTTTCATATATTATATCCTTTCTTGTTGTTCTGCATGACCCTGAGGCTCTGGTTTCTTCAGTTTCTTTGGTGTTCAGATTTTCTATTTACCTATCTTCAAGTTCAGTAACTTTTTCTTTTTTGATCTTCACTCTCCTGTCAGTCCAATCCAATGGATTTAAAAATTTCAGTTATTTGACTTTTCATTGATAGAGTTTGCATTTCTCTTTTTATAGTTTTAATTTCTCTTATGAGCATCCCTATATCTTAATTCTATCAGGTCATACTTTTATTCAGTTCTTTGAATTGATTTGAATACATCTGCTTTATATTCTCTGCTAAATCCAATATCTGGGGGGTCATCTAAGTGTCAGTTTTCACTGTCTTTTTTCTCTTGACCATGAGTCCCATTTTCCCATTTCTTTGTGTATCTAGCAATTTTTGATTTTACACTAGACATTGAGGAGTCTGTGTTGTAGAATCCTGAGTTCTGTGGAATAATTTGTATTGTAATGTTAATGGTTATTCTTGTTGGCAGATTTATTCTCTTGAACTTACTAGTTACGATTTAATACTTTGTTAGAATGGATCTGTGGGAAGCCCAGTGTAGTTACCCAGCATTCTAACTTGATGGACTCTGCCTCCAAGTTTGGTCTCCTCTGTGGATTTTGTTAGGGCCTGGTTTGGGTCTTTGTTAGAGTAGGTTTACACTGGGGCCTTACTCTAGAACATTATACTTATTCCTAAGGAGTGGCATTTCTGATTTTTACCTGGATGCCTGGAATGTTAACCATTCTCTCGGGCTGGGCTCTAACTCCAGTGTTCTCCAGCGCTGCTTGACCTCTTTAACTCCAGTGCACTCTCAGCTATAGGTAGCATGTGCTATTTGGAAATCCTTGGTAGTCTCGCCCTGCACATGTGCAGCCCAGTCCTTAGCCAAAGGCTTTTGGGGTCTCCCTATGTAGACTTTTGGCACTTTTGTATCACCTGTTGTACAATGTCTGAAAGCCACTGCCTCCTAGTTTCACAGTTGTTTCATTAGGAAGGCAAGCCTGGAACTAATTACCACAATAAGGCCTGAAGCAGAAGTTTCTCTTCTGCTTTTAATTTAGAGTAGGCAGCAAGAGGTTCCAGTTAATTTCCCCACTGAGCCATTTCCAGAGAACTCTGAATAAATAAAAATGATAGTTTGAGTTCCATATGTTGTCTTCTTCTTAGTGTATTTTATAATAGTTTTCCTAGCGTGGAAGGGGTGTGAGTAATTGGCACCCTCAGACCTCTTAAGGGCAAGGATAAACACAGAGACTGGCTCTCAGGAATAAAAATACCACATAGGTGGAGTGAAGTATGCAGTGTTTTCAGGCATGTTACTAGTTTTAGCAGGTCTTCCACAATGAGTGGCTTTAAAAGGCAGAGATCCTAACATCTAGAAGGTTAAGGATGGCCCATTTACATAGTTGCAGAGCTGCAGCTGTGTTTAAAAGAAGGCTTGGCTTATCTGGGACCTCAAAATGAGTGACAGAGACTTGACTTTAAGCAGAAATAGCCATTTCTCTCCTGGGGGTAGGATGGACTGTTCTCACCTCTGGACTAGAGGCAGCCTCACTTCTGTGGGGACTTACCCATCCCACGTGGTGAGGGAAGGGTGGCAGCACTGTGGTCTTTAAGAGCCATCTCCTGATCCTTTTGTCCTTATGGGGCCAGGGGGTGGGCAGCAAGTCCTTGATCTCAGACTCAGGAAAGTTCTAAACCGCTATGGTCATCCAACTAGTGAGTAGTCTAGGAGTGCACATGTGACCCAGTTTTGGCCAATGGTAAGTAAGGGAAAGACCTTGGGGGAACTTCTTTTTCCAGTGAAAGCCAGAGCCTCATGAAGAGGGTCTTTAAACAAACCACCCTTTGTCTTGTACTTGGGACTCTAGTGAAAGGATGTGATATCTTAAGTTGTATCCATGCAGCGACCATAAGTTGTCAATCAAGAAGATTAAAAGCCAAGGTTTACAGAGCAGAAAGAAAGAGCTTGGACTGGCACTCCAGAGTTCCTGCTATGTGTGGAAAAAACTTCAGCTCTGTTTAAGTCATTATTAGTGAGGCTTTCTTATACCAGCAATTACTCCTAACTGAGCCACTAGGGTGGCTATTAAGATGAAAAAGGGAAAAGATGGGACACAACTGCATCTAAAGGCAGGATGAGGAGTGAGTGGGCTACTTCCCCAGTTACTGCTTCAGGGAGAGTGCTTGGGGCTGCTTTAATACACGGAAAAACTACTTGGTTGTTCTTAAAAGAAGTAGCAAAAATTGGGCATAAAAATTTTGAAAACGGTAACTGTAAGCCATGAGGAAGTTTTCAAAAGTTTAATAGGGTCAATGATATGATGAGACAAATCTTTCAAAATAGTAGTTAGTAATTTGAAAATATGCAAACCAGTTCTCCTGGGCCCTGTTACGTGAATGTAGGTGAGATGATGCATCTGGAGAAGACCTGAAATGAGAGAGGAAATGCAGGACTAGGATGGGGAGAAGAATTTCAGGCTACAAGTTACGCCATACATTTAAGGCTGTTATGACTAAA